CCATTGCACTCCAGTCTGGGTGACAGAGTGAGACTCCAACTCAAAAAAAAAGAAAAAAAAGTTTTAAAAGCACCTTGTAGAAGGAATAATTGGAGGCAGGTTGTTGCTTTCAGTTTGATAATGTTGAGTGGTTTAAATGGCTCTCAGGAGCAGGGACCCCCCCCCCAAAACCTGTAAGCCATATCCCAGGTGGCTTTGGAACATGGTGGTATTTACCTGCTTGTCACTAAATACAGATGTCTGACTTCTTTTTGTTTTCCTCATTCCACCTATAAAGATTCTTCCAGAGTCCCTTTACATTCTCACCATTCCTAAGTCACTTTATTGAGATTAGCTCTGGTGTAAATCTAGCAGGAGGAGATGACTCACTTGTTTTTCATCCAAAGGTCAAAAGTTGGAAATTAAATACTCATAAGGGGGATTTATTGGCTTGCGGTGGTCGATATATAGTGAAGATGGTCTTGTGTAAGGAACACCATGCAGGACAGACTACCTCATAGTCCTTTGCCCAGATCTTTAGTTAGAGCTGTGGGATTAGAGAAGGAATGTTGAATCTAGGCGACTGAGTACAGTTATGGTCATTTTTAAAGTCAGGTTTCAATATTGTTTGGAAATGTCAAAACCAAGTGACAGATTTCTGCGCCCTGGAATCCCGTGTATCGCTGACTTGGCATCTAGGGACTGCTGCACAGGGCCTGAAAGCTGACTCTGATGAAGTGAGTCCCGATGTAATCTGCATTACAGTGTAGTTTTAACATAAATGTGTGTGCGAGCTTGGGATGGGGTGGGTAGGAGGGAGGAGGGTTTTTCCATCTCGAATTACTTGGACCTTGGTATACAGTGGTTTATTTTCCTTGTCTCAGGGGTTACCTTTTGGGCTCAACTGCCAGGGAAATGTTTAATTCTCAGTGTGTCTCCAGTTACCAAAAGACCAGTCAACTGAAATAGGAGAGTTCCTCCATACTCATCCCTTTCAAAATGATCACTTTTTAGAATGCAGAACACCCAGGGCTGCCCATCTGGCCCGAGGGTGCTGGATGATGCACTGTAGAATGGCAAGGAGGTGGCCTCTTAATATGGGGCTTTCTGTGAGCCTGACACTAGCCTGTGTTTCCTAAACCAATGGGACTTCTGTCATAGTCATTTTACCTGATCATGTAAATGATTCAGACAGGTTCTCCAAAATATTTGGAGTCCAGCAAGTATAATTAAGATGAGTTAAAAATAGAGATGAGAACGAGTGAACTGACAGAATTTTCACTAAAAGGAGGCTTGCATTTTAAAATTCAGAAGACTACCCTCCTTCCAGCCAAGAATAAATTGGAAACTATTTTAATTGACACGGATACTGCAATTCAACTGTTACTAGAAAGATTAGTTGATTGATTTGCATTTTAATAAAACTAATACTTTACATTTTGGTAGCTAATGCTGATTTTTAAATGAGTTGAGAACAGTTATCAAGAGTTTCAATCCAGAGCCCTTTTTTGGTGTTGACTGAAGCATTCCTCTCTTTTGTGTGGAGTTTGCTTATTTTCTTTTGCCCAGCTGACTGCTTCACACAAGACACTCACATGCCAGAGACCTTGGAGCTCTCCCTAGGGCAGGAAGGGCAGTGAGTTGGTCACCCCTGTCCACACCTCATCCTGCCCAGGGGTGCCTCAGAGATGGGAGCCAGGCAGGAGGCACTGGGCCTCTCCCTTCAGAACAGAGAACATGGGAAGGCTGGTTTCTTGTCTTAGTTTATTTTTTCATTTTTTTTTTTTTTAGAGATAGGGTCTTGCTCTGTCACCCAGGCTGGAGTGCAGTGACATAATCACAGCTGACTGCAACCCTGAACCAATTCCTGGGTTTAAGCGACCCTCTCAAGTAGTTGGAATTATAGGTGCGTGCCACCACTCCCAGCTAATTTTTTTTTTTTTTCTGAGTTGGAGTCTCACTCTGTCGCCCAGACTGGAGTGCAG